TTCATTGTGTTTCTCATCATCTATGTGACATCCATAGTGGGTAACATTGGGATGATTCTCCTCATCAACACTAACTCCAGACTTCAGACTCCCATGTACTTCTTCTTACAACATCTGGCTTTTGTTGATATCTGTTACACATCTGCCATCACTCCCAAGATGTTGCAGAGCTTCATGGTAGAAGAGTGCTCCATATCATACACAGGATGTGTAATGCAATTGCTGGTATATGCCACATTTGCAACCAGTGACTGTTACCTCCTTGCTGTTATGGCAGTGGACCGTTATGTGGCAATCTGTAAGCCCCTTCGCTACCCCATAATCATGTCTCGACAAATCTGCATCCAGTTGGTAGCTCTTTCTTACCTTATGGGATCAATAAATTCCTCAGTGCACACAGGATTTACATTTTCATTGTCTTATTGTAATTCTAAGCACATTAATCACTTTTTCTGTGATGTTGTTCCAATCATCACTCTTTCATGCTCCAACATTAACATAAATATCATGCTACTTATGGTGTTTGTGGGATTTAACCTGACATTCACTGTGTTGGTCATCATCTTCTCCTACATATACATCATGGCTGCCATCCTAAAGATGTCTTCCACTGCAGGGAGGAAGAAAACCTTTTCCACATGTGCCTCTCACCTGACAGCAGTCACCATTTTCTATGGAACCCTAGCTTACATGTACTTACTGCCTCACTCTGACAATTCTGAGGAGAATATGAAAGTGGCCTCTGTGTTTTATGGCATTGTGATTCCCATGTTGAACCCTCTGATCTATAGCTTGAGAAACAAGGAGGTCAAAGAAGGTTTTAAAGTAATGAGCAGAAAGTTCTTAAGATTGGATGCAAAGCCTTGAAATGGGGAACATCAAAGTGTCTGCTAGACATGTGTTACCACAACTTAGTAATTCTGAATCTGTAAACATGTTCAACTATGAGTCAGTGCTACATATATCAATATGTAATATCTTAGATTGTGCAAAATATCCTAAAGCCTGCTCTTAAAACTGACTTTTTATGTAATGTCATTTAGAAAGCATGTGACATTTCTCAGGATGAAGTCATAATAGGCATTATTTGAAAATTTAAGAAACATACATGAAACTTCAAAAATATTGTTTCAAATATTTAGTGGATAGAAAATCATCCAATTCTTGTGATGATATACAGTTTATGATTTAATAAAGTTTTCCTGGGGATCAGAATGCAAAGCCAGCCACACTAGTTATCTATAGAAGCCTGGCAGTAGTGGCACCCACCTTTAATCCCAGGACACAGGATACAGAGGCAGAGGGATCTCTGTGAATCCAAGACCACCCAGGACTACAGAAGAGTGAAGCTAAAGGAGTAACGGAGCTCACACCTTTAATCCCAGCACTAGAGAGGTATATAAGGAAGAAGCAAAGGGTCTCATGTGAGATTTTGTTTCCAGTCACAGGGAAGAGAGGATCTCCATTTCAGCCTTGGTAGATGTAAGAGCTAGTGACTGGCTGCTTTGCTTCTCTGATCTTCAGCTTGAACCCCAATATCTGTCTCTGGGTTTCATTATTCATGCTACAAATTATACATAATCAATATTAATATTAAAATTTCCCTAAATGATATACAAGTGATGGGGAATGTACTGTGTATGTTTATCTTATTGATTGTTAAAGAAAATACTGTTTGGCCAATGAAACAGCAAGTTAGACAGGACTAGGAGTCAAAGAGGATTCTGGGAAATGTAGTAGAGAAGTGATGATCCAGGCAGGAAGTGACATGGCAAAGAGACTCATATATAAGCAAGGAAACAGGAAGTGTGTCTCTTTTCCCCTCCGCTCCTGCTCCAGCGGCACAATGTGATCCACCGGCAAGGAGGGACGCCAATAAGGCATCCGATGAGATAAGTCTTATAAAATATATAGATTTATGATCATTAAGACTGAGCTAACAGATGAGGAATCCTAGTTATTGGCCAAGCAGCTTTGAACCTAATACAAGTTTTTGTGTATTCATTTGGGCCTAACTTGGGCGAGTGGCTGGCATAAAGCTCACACGTGGTGGTAGGGATCAGGCAGCTTTTGGCAGAAAGATTATCGTAACAGAATGGTGTCAGTGAGCAGGATGACTCCATGCCCCAAGGTTGCCAGAGAAAGAGGAAACCTGCTGCCACAGCCTGCCCTGCCAGGCCGCTGAGAGGCATCGTAGCAGCTTCCATATGCTCGCTCCGTCCCGGCGCTTCTGGAGTTTAGACTCGGCATTCCCAAGATGATAAAGACAGATACAGATAAAGAAAAACCTCTAAAAGTTTACACTGCATTTAAAAATATATATAGGCTTGTGGGAGAAAAAATAACAGGAGGAAATAGAGTAGCTGGTTGTGGTGGCGCCGGTAGGATTTGCTGAAGGAAGCAGAGGCAGTCGGATTTCCACAGAGAAACCCTGTCTCGGAAAAAAAAAAAGTAAAAATAAAGTAATAAAAAAGCCACATAAAGATGGAAAATACACAGAGAATCTGGATACGATATGCCATATTGTTGTCTTTAAATTGTTTGATTGCCGAGGAAACATTTACTGCTACTAAAATACATTTGATTATAAATGCTGCTAAATTAATCCAACTTATACATTTTAAAAATACTCTAACTTCAAAATTTAAGTTTAAGGACAGGCTACTTAGAAATAAAGGTTTTACTTGTATTTCCAGCTATGGATTCCTTCCAGACTAATATGGTTTAATCAAGCAAGACCCCCCTGAAGCTGAGAGGATACACCCTTGCAGACTACTAAAACGAGGACATGGTCAGGTTTCTATGTTTTATCATGATCCCTATGATATGAACATCTCCCCCAATCAGCAGGAAGTAGTTTAGAAAGAACGATGCCCATATCCCCAAATATTGTTTATAAATGTTTGTTTTCATTTAAATGATAATGAGCATAGTCAATCTCTTTTTAAAGAAAGAAAAGGGGAATAGGATATAGGAATGAATACTTTGCATTGGTATAGATTTTCATTTTTTTTTAAAAGAACACTAACCAATCACAGCAGGGCACTACCCTTGGGATTCACTTATCCTTAATTACATCCTAAGAATCCCCATCTTCCAAGACAGCCACCTTTGGGGATAGGGCTCAGCACTTACATTTTGCAGAGACATGAGCATTCAGTCTATAGCAATTGTTTTGACAGAGCAGGATTGGGGTGAAAGTTTTTGTTTTTTTTTTTTTTTGACAGTGAGACACAACTGCTCCTGGCACACCAGTTAAATCAGAAAGGAGGATGGACATCAAAGAAACTCATAATGGAGTTTGCCTTCAACATGGCAAGATTAGCCATTTGGGCAAGAATCTGCTCTTACCTGGACTGTTTGTTCCAGTATAAGCTGGACATACAGTACCCACAAGAAAGTGACTGCTGAACTTACAAAACAAGACCATACTGAAGGGTTCCTGTTGAAATGGAGAAGTGTTCCAGACACACTGTATCTTATTGATTGTTAAAGAAAATACTGTTTGGCCAATGAGACAGCAAGTTAAATGGGACTAGGAGTCAAAGAGGATTCTGGGAAATGTAGTAGAGAAGTGGTGATCCAGGCAGGAAGTGACAGAGCAAAGAGACTAATATTTAAGCGAAGGAGAAACAGGAAGGGTCCTTTTTTCCCCTTGCTCCTCCAGCAGCATGATGTGATCCACCGGCAAGGAGGGACGCCAATAAGGCATCCAATGAGATAAGTCTTATAAAATATATAGATTTATGATCATTAAGACTGAGCTAACAGATGAGGAATCCTAGTCATTGGCCAAGCAGCTTTGAACCTAATACAAGTTTCTGTGTATTCATTTGGGCCTAACTTGGGCGAGTGGCTGGCATAAAGCTCACACGTGGTGGTGGGGCTCAGGCGGCTTTTGGCAGAAAGATTTATTGTAACATACAATGAAGTCTACTTTGAATTTGGTTCTAATTGTTACACAAATCTATGCATAAATACATGTATTACTTTAATATTATCTGATGGTTCAAGTATTATTTCCTACTAAATACATCTCACATATCTTACATTCTTAGCACTTCAGAGCAATTATTTCTGTCATGAATTACCCTGGTTAATCTTACTCTGTCTTTTTCCTGTCTGAGAAAGAACTCCTTAAAGTATTTTCTACTACTATATATAAAATGCATTTAGAAATAGATGTCTAAGAACTACAATGCATTTATAAAGAGCATGTAAATAATGCTTGTTTGCATGAGTAAGAGCTACAGAAACTCAGTGAGAGTACATGGGAGGATTTTGAAAGAGGAAAAGGAAATAGAAAATTATGAAATTATAATCACAAAAGAGGTATTTATAAGTGCAGGTGGAAAACATGCCTTTGTCTGGGGCTGATTTAAAAAAAAAACAGAATTTTTAGGGTGAAATGAAAGAAGAAAGAAATGCAATTTTTAAAATAAATAGTGTTAGCCAATGCAATGTTACAAAGCATTTTCCCTCATTGTCACACTGGGGATAAAATGTCCTTACATTTGGTTTAGATACTGATTTTTTCGCTGATTATATTGACATATATTTTTCTCTATACCAATATCTTTATGAATATAGGTCCTTGAGCAATATGAAAAGATGCTGAACTTGATTAATAACAAGAGATAATAAGCTTGAGAAAGAAGTGCCCTTTCTAAAAATAAAGTCACATTAAATAAAAATCCTTATGCAGAAATTTTAAATTAATTAGTTAAAAATAACTAGCTAGGGGCAAGAGAGGTCTGGAGAGGCTGGGCAGTTAGAGTGCACCTGCTCATAAGGACCAGAGTTCAGGTCCTAGGACTTTCACGCCAAGGTGGGAGTCCCGCAACACCTGTAACACCTGCTGCAAAGTATCTGATGCCTCATTCTGGCCTCAACCCACTCACAGGTACCTGCACCTTCACACACACACATATGTGCATACATTCACACAAATGCATGAATAAACAAAATTAAAATGAATAACTGTAAAAGAGGAGCAGAAAGAGTAGAAGGGAGTAAGAGAGGTTAATAGGAAACAAACATAATCAAACATATTATATGTCCCTATAAAATTATAATAATGAAACCCTTTATTGTGACTAATATAATTTTTAAAATCACTAACAATTATTGTTTATCCAATTCCAAGTCATCCCTGGAGACCTCAGATTGTCAAGAGAGTATAAATCCCTTAGGCCCCAGGTATAATCCCTCTGATGAGGAAGAAACAGAATCTTAGTTGACAACCACCTCATCAAGTGCAAAGAGAAAAACTAGAAGCAATTCCAGTGTAAGTAAAACAAAACAAATGTCATTTTTCAGGATCAGCTGTGATCACTGCAGTGTGAACAGGAAGCAGCAGAACAGAAGGGTCAGAGGTAGAATCCCAGAACATCTCACCTAAGGCTCAGAGGATGCACTCCACATGGGTGAGCTAATAGTGGCATGAGGTGGTTGTTTTCTTCTGATTGAGTGCTTCCTGTGAAAGAAGGTAAAGAACAAGTAATTGAAAAAGCCAACTAATCATTGGTTGGCATGTGTTATCACAGCCATTTGGGTGAGCTCAACTCAGTGTCTGTTCCTATGCTGAGAAGTTTGCATAAATTTGCTTGTTTGATGCTTGCATCACTGCACAGCAGACTCTGCCTTTCTACTAATTCTATTTTCAGGTTTCAAATACTTAGAGATTTATGAGAAATATGAAAGATAATGCATAAAATCCCACCTACACCTTTGGAAGATTCCCCCTCCACAGTTTCATCTTGCATAATAACTCTAGACAACAAAACCAGAGCTTTGTTATTGATACAGTGTCCATGTAGTTAGATGGCATTTTCTCACTTCTTTAGATTGATTCCCATGGCCACCATGTTACTCAAGATATCAAACATCCATCAGAGATCTTATTTCATACAAACTTCTTGCACATTTGCCGCTTACAAACACACCACTCCAACCACCTACTGCTTCTAACTTGTCAATCACTGGTCTCTCACTTCTTTATCTTAAAAATCTTACCATCTTGATAAGGTTATATTCAAAAAATCATATACTATATGAACTTTACAAATTAGGTGTTGCCATGGAGAGCCACCCTTTGTCCATGTTTCTCTCTCACAGATTCTAAGTGCTATTTCACAGTATAGTAACGTGATTTGTTTAACCAACAGTTTTCTAAAGAATGTTTTAGCTGTTGACACTTTTAAATTATTGCCAATGAAGCTTTTTAAATTTTTCCCCATTTTGACATGAGCATAAGTTTTGTGTAAGCAAAATTGGCTATGAGTACAAACTGGACTGTATGTTTGGATTCCTTAAATACTACCAATTTATTTTTGCAGAACGATTATGCCATTTCCCACATTCACAACAATCTATAAAGACCCAGAGCTCTGAGTCTTTGCCAGCTTTGGTTTTGTCACTGTTTTTAATTAACAATGATGATGGCTGTGCAGCAATAGCTCAGAATGCTTAGTGTGATAATATCCTATCCTGCTGCTAATTCGAATCTACCTAATGGCTAATAAGCCTGACAAGTTTAATATATTTATACATAGTGAAATTATACATGGTGAAATAGCCTTTTCATATATTTTACCAATTTTTAAATTTTCCTTTTTTCAATAATTTTGCATCTTCAGCAAAAGCTGTATGCAGTTTACTCTTGGGAACCCTACTGAGTTTCCACTGTGTGCCTGTCCCTCCAGTATTGGAGTGTTCACTAGCATAGTGGCACAAAACATCCTGGAAGCAAGTGGAATGCTGCATACACTTTCTTCTTCTTTTTATATTCATTCTTTGAAAATTTCAAGCAATGTATTTTTAGCATATTCACCCTCCAACTCCTCTTTCTTACTAAACCAACCTTGCTCCACAACCCTGACACACACACACACACACACACACACACACACACACACACCTTTTTAAACCCACTAGTCCAATTTGCAATACACAAATACCTTTAGATGTGAAGTCATCACTGAAGCATGGTCAGCTTATCAGGAGCCACACCCATAAAGAAAACCGACTTCCACTCTCTCAGCAGCTATCAGTTACCAATGTCCTCTTCTCTTTGATGATCCCCGAGCCATAGGAGAGAGTGTGGTATAGATGTGCTACTTAAGGTTGAGAATTCTGTGGTCTCATTCTCTGACCTTGACAAGTGTGGGTCTCTGTGTTCATAGCCATCTACTACATAAAGAGGCTTCTCTGAAAAGAATTGAGAGGTGTGTTAATCTAAGGGCATAATGGTAAGTCATTAGCAATTGCTTTAATACTATTTCAATTCTACCAAATAATACTAGTGGATTCTACTCTAAGGACCTATAACCTACATAGTGAAAATTGGCAGTTTTTGGCAATGAACCCCAGGGATTTGACAACATAAATGGTAGGGGTCTTGGACATGGGGAGGGGCCTGATTCATGCACTTAATTAAATTTTATCAATTGGTTTAGATATTCTAACTTTTCTTTTCAGCATAAATTTTTAAATAATGTTTGAAAATTAATTAGGCATTGTCAATATTTTCTAATTTTCTGTATACTAATCTTATGTATATTTTATTAATATATACCTAAACATTGTATTATTCAGCCACCAGTAAAAATGTATCTTAAGTCTCAATTCCTACCAGTCTATTGCTAGTATAGAAATACTATTGATTTTCATATGGTCATCTTTCATTCTGAAATTTCTTCAGCTCCTTAACATAGATCATTGTGTCTTTTGCAACAAGGACGGTACTGTTTTATGGTTCCTGAAATGTGTTTCTTTTATACAACTAGGCATGGGGTAGAACTTTCAGAAGTATAATGAATATTACAACAGGGTTGACACTATATTCACCCTGTTCTTGATCTTAGAAGGGAAGGATTTTGTCTCTAGTCATCAAGGGGGTTTTCTGTAATTTTTCCATCAAGTTAAGAACTAATGTTAGGAACTTTTTCTTGCAATAGTAAAGAAGTGTTGAATTTTTCCAAATGTCTTTTCCCATAAATGAATTCAACTATTTCTTCTTCTATTTGCTATGAATATATTTGATTACACTGATTGACTCCCATATCTGAAACCAGAGTAATCATGAGCTAAAGCCCACTTGATTGTGTATTCAATTCTATATGTGTGTCCAAATTAAATTGCTGATTTGGTTTTTAAAAAAATTCTTTCTTCTGCTTTGATATGAAATGTTGGGGAGTAGTTTTCTCTTTTTATGCTCTCCATATCTGGCATTGTGGATAATAGGGAGAAGTCACAAATTGTCTTTCCATGCAGTACTTTAATTCCTCCTTAATTTTGGTGAATTATCCAAATTTTTCAATTACACTAATTTATTGTGTGTTTGTCTACCTTCTCTCTCTCTCCCTCACTAAAAATAATAAAATAACTCTTTAAGAAATTTAAGACAGCAATAAAAATCCTAAAGTTCACTGATCTAAAACAACAGAATTCTATATCATATCAAGTGTTGTGGAAGAAGTGCATTCTAGGAATTACTTTAACCTCAGTGTGTTCCTCAGAGCCCACCTTTGGAAACATCTCACAAGGCAACAGTGTTGGTTCATTCCATAAGAGAACGTGATTAGACTGTAAAGGTTCTATGCCTATAACCGAGTTAATGGCTTTTCTGTAGAACAAAGTCAGATATCATCAGGTAAAACATTTGTCATGCCAGAGATTTAGTCTTCCCCTATTCTCATCATCTCTTGCCCATGAACCTCCTGCTATGGAACAATGCAAATGAAGGCCGTAACCTGATACAGCCTCTCTTCTTGGACTCTCCTGCCACCAGAACTATGATCTAAACACATCAATTTGTGCATAAATTATGAAGTTTCTTTATAAATTACCAATTTCTAAAGTAATACAACACATAGTAAGAGAGGGTGTCTGCTCTACAAATTCATTCCATGTCGGAAAGCACTGTGGTGATCATCCTTATCCACACAGACTCCAGACTTCAGACTCCCATGTACTTTTCCCTACTCTGTCTTTTGTTGAAATCTATTACACATCTGAAATAGACCTTAATAAGCAACAGAAGCAGGATATCAGACTTCATAAATAAAAAATGCATGATGCTGAATAGAATTTGAAAATTTACTCCAATGAAGAGTAAATACAATTACTTTTAAGTGTCCCTTAAAAATCTAAAGGCCCATTATGATTAAAATCATGCTATTTGATAACATTCACATTTTCACCTGATGTCCTTCCTGGTACACAACCACCTTAATATATTGCTTACAAAACTTTCTTAATTGTTGATCCATGTAGCAGATGAGGAATTTTAACAAGTGGATATTTGTGTAATTTCAGTCTCATAGGAAGGGGCTTGAGAGGCCTAGATGAGCCTTAGATGTCACATGTATTACCTTTCTTAGTGTTCCATTGGACAGAGTCTAGTAGCATGTCCATGGGCTTTGAAATCATCTCAGTGTGACTGGAACTGCAACTCATTCCTGTTCCCTAAAAAAGGGAGGTGTATCAGTGGGGCAGGAACCAATATCTGCAACACTGGGGTGATAATAGACTATTCCACTTTGTGGAGTGCTTTGCAGTCTGGAAGGGAGTACTTATAAAGACACTAAATCATGGAGCTGAAAGTTTCACACTATATGAAAGACCACAAAAGAATGAACCTTGGCTCTATACCCACCCAGGCACGGAGAATCTATAACTTACAAAAAAGATACATGTGAGTTCAAAATAATTTATACATACATATATATATATATATATATATATATATATATATATTCTACTCATATATATACAAGAAAGAGTTAGCACATGGTTTTCCCTTAACCTTGGTAATAGCTAAAAGGAAAAATCATTCAATGCCATGGGAAATGCAAATCATCCTCTTACATATATAAAATGAGAGAATTCTCTTAGCAAAAACAGGTACAAAAACATCATAGAGCCAAAAAATTGTCTAGACTATAAATTTTTTCATTAGTAATTTCAAGAGTTTGAAGTATAATTAATAGACTAAAAAAGATAAATGAGTAAAAATGATATAGGCTTTTGAGAAGGCCAAAACTATAATTGTATATTGCACTATGCAAATATAAATGCATGTATAATAGAATGGAAAAGTATGAGATTTGTGTTTTTCAGGATTGTGTATTCAAAGATGCTTTTTCCATGAGTATTCTTTAGCTTTAAATGAATCCATTATGAAAATATGCATGCAAAGCAAAAACCTATTTGTGAGTCTTTATTATGGATGTCAAAGTAAAGAATGGAGTGAAAAAAATAAGGATTTTCTTAAGTCTGGTGAAATATTTTCTTTCTTATTTTTCTCCTTTTCTTGACCACCTATAGACTCTTGATAGCCATGACACAAGGAAATGACACCAAAGTCGCTGACTTCTATCTTCTAGGATTTGGGGTCCAGCATGATACTCAGTGTGTCCTCTTCATTGTGTTTCTCATCATCTATGTGACATCCATGGTGGGTAACACTGGGATGATCCTCCTCATCAACACTAACTCCAGACTTCAGACCCCCATGTACTTCTTCTTACAACATCTGGCTTTTGTTGATATCTGTTACACATCTGCCATCACTCCCAAGATGCTTCAGAACTTCATAATAGAAGATAAATCAATAACTTTTAAGGGATGTTTAATACAATTATTTATTTATGCAATATTTGCAACCAGTGACTGTTACCTCCTTGCTGTTATGGCAGTGGACCGTTATGTGGCAATCTGTAAGCCCCTTCGCTACCCCATAATCATGTCTCGACAAATCTGTATCCAGTTGGTAGCTGGTTCTTATCTCATGGGATCAATAAATTCCTCAGTACACACAGGATTTACATTTTCACTGTCATTCTGTAAGTCAAAAATCAATCACTTTTTCTGTGACATTCCACCAATTGTCACTCTTTCATGCTACAACAATGACACTAACTTCATGCTAATTTTAATTTTTGTTGGATTTAACCTGACATTCACTGTGTTGGTCGTTATTTTCTCCTACATATACATCATGTCTGCCATCCTAAAGATGTCTTCCACTGCAGGGAGGAAGAAAACCTTCTCCACGTGTGCCTCCCACCTGACAGCAGTCACCATTTTCTATGGAACCCTAGCTTACATGTATCTACAGCCTCATTCTGACAATTCTGAGGAGAATATGAAAGTGGCCTCTGTGTTTTATGGCATTGTGATTCCCATGTTGAACCCTCTGATCTATAGCTTGAGAAACAAGGAGGTAAAAGACGCTATAAAAGCCACAGGGAAAAGGCTCTTTAAATTGGATTTAAATTATTAAAATTCAGTAAATCATATTCACAGTAGAGGTATATTAATGCAGTTGAAATTAAACTAGAATATCTACAAGCCATCACTGTAACTCATTTAGTAATTCTGAAACTGAAAACAGTGAACTTCTAAATCAAATCCAGATTCTTTGATCCCTAGAACAACATTTGAAAACATCTCAACTTCTGATGAGAAAAAATTCATGAAGATTATTCAAATACTAAGTGTAGGGAGAAACTCTGATTAAAGGTGCTGCTGACCTTGTCTGCTTGGGTGTGGTAAGAGGTACGTAGCAGGGGTTTAAGAAGGACGGAGGCACGCACATGGCTCTCTCTCTCTCTCTCTCTCTCTCTCTCTCTCTCTCTCTCTCTCCTGGCTAAACTGACTAGGAAGCATTTCAGGGTATGTTATGCTCTGGTGCAAACCTGGTCACTGACTCCCTTGGGTGAGTCAGTGACTCACATTCCCCAAGTAAATTACCATTTATCAACCTATTTTCTGACTCCACTTTGTAAACTTCTATATCTGATGTAAATGCATACCTGAAAAAGTGCTATTTTGAATATATTTTAAGTACATAACATCTCTACTTGTACACTGTTATTATCAAAATTTCAAAATTGTCATTATATTCCTATCATTTAAACAGGTCTCTAAATTATTTACCATTGGGTCCAATGTTAATTCTGTTCAAATTATTGCAAATAACCCAGATGTTAAATAAATTTTCCTATTTACAAAACATCTTTTTACCCAAGCTATCATCTCTCCTCAATATTTGCACATTTGTTACCTTCCCTCATTCTTGAAAGTACTTATGTCATCTGTCAAACTCTGAATATAATTATCTCCAGCTCTGGGAAAGAGAACTACTGGGAGTGTAGTCTACTTCTGTCTCCAATAAAGATCATTTTAAATGAGTTAATCTAAAACCTTATCCATTTTTATAAAGCATATTAATCTTTTGTTTAGCAATAGAAACTTTAGAGGAATTCCAATGGAACTAAGGAAGTCAAAAAAACAGCTGTCAGGAAAGCTGTAGTACTATATTATACCTCACATTAATGATCTGAAGTAATATGGGAAAGACCCATTGTAAAACAGTAGGTTGCCACTCAGAGTAAATTATTTTTCAGAGAACAAATTGATCAGGCTTTATGATACACCTACCATAGATGCATATGCAAAATCTAGTCACTTGATAAAACAAAATACTCATTATTATACCCTCCATGTTTATTAAATTTCAGGAATTTACTAGTTGTTCATTAGTACAGATTTTAAATTTTTATGTGTATGACTATTTTTGCTTAAATGTATGTCTGTGCACTTTGCATGTCTGGAACCAGAAGAGAGCTTCAGATGCCCTGGAAGTGGATGTAGTTGTAGATGGTTGTGAACTGTCATGTCAGTGCTGAGAATAAAATCCAGGTACTCTGGAAGGGCAGCCAGCGCTCCAATGTATTGAGCTTTATTTTCAGCCTTCTTATATAGCTTCTTTTAAATGAATAAACAAAGCATACACACAAATGAATTGAATATGTCCATTGAAAGAGAATATGTAGTGTCTATAACTCTCCTACAACAAACTCATGATGTAAGCTCATGGTTTATGAGATCCAACAACAGTTCCTGGGTATTCCTGTAGGCACTCAAGTCTTGATTCAGAATTGGAAAGGAGGGCTTGAGTGATCATTGAATAAAGTACATGTGTTGCAAGCAAAAGAACCTGAGTTTTAATTCCAGAACTCACATGAAAAAAATTGGGAGTGGTGTAATGTTTTTGTAATCTCAGTACTAGGAAAGCCAAGAAAGTGGATCTCTGGAAATTTATGCCAGCCAGCCTGCCTCAAAAACAAGGAAGAACATCAACAATTGTCCATTGTCATGCCTTTGTGAATGCATACACACACACACACACACACACACACACACACACACACACACACACACACACACACACGGAGGAGGATTGAAGGGAGTCATCGGCAATTATAACTAACTTCATAAAAAATTATAAATCTAGCCAGGCAGTGGTGGTGCATACTTTTAATTCTAGCACTCAGGAGGCAGAGGAAGTCAGCTCTTTATGAGTTTGAGGCCAGACTGGTCTACACAGTAGGTTCCAGGACAGCTAGAACAACAGAGGAAGTGTTTTGAGACACTGTCTCAAAAAACAAAAATTTCTGAGTGTAAATACTGAGAGAATAAATATGGTGTCATGGACCAAATATCCTAGAATAGGAATGATGCAGAAAAGAATAACTACACAGGCAGAAAGATAATGTGTTTATTATTCCATGTGTGTGGTTACTGCTATCGCAAAATACAGCCAGTGTCTGTGCTTTGTGTGATCCCTATTCCTCCATGAGAAACATCTGTGATTTTGAGGGGAAAGTAATGTGGCAAGAAAACATACGACCTCTCGCAGCTGTTGTGTGTCTCAGTTTTCATACCTGAGACATAGTCTTGATTCTCTGGTCAAGGTTATGTGTCTTGAGGAGGTGTTGTGAAGAATTAAGCTTACTATTTAAAATGTCTGGCATGTACCATCAGCTACTAGGAGGTGATCTCTAAATTGATGCAGCATCCTGCCTAACAAGGGTAGGTTGTTTGCTTAAAGGATTTGGACTTTGGGTACTGGTTTCTTATGGAAGCTTGAGATACTCTATAGCAGTTTAAGACTCCAGAGGAAGTGGAGGATGGAGGTAATAACTGTACAACTTGGATATAAAGATTATTCTTGTTGCCTGCATGCTGTCCAGCCCCAATAAAAATTCTGAATGTCAAAGACAGAGCTGTATTCCTTAGATTGACAATGTTGTGAATATATCCCTCTTTGGTTTAAACAGAGCAATTCATATATTACAAGGAAGTTTTTTGGTTTGGTTTGGTTTGGTTTGGTTTGGTTTGGTTTGGTTTGGTTTTTCAAGACAGGACTTCTCTGTGTAGCTTTGGAGCCTCTCCTGGCACTTGCTTTGTAGGCCAGACTGGCCTTGAACTCACAGAACTGGCCTCTGTCTCCTAAGTGATGGGATTAAGAGCCTGCACCACCACCTCCTGGCTACTAGGAAGTTTTATATTTGGACAAATATCAGGCATTGCTCCAGGCATCTCTTCCTTCATCTGGATCTGGTGCATATCTTTATCTTTTTGTTATAATACTGCTTTTACTTTGCAATCTATAACATAATATTATTGACTGGGTAGATTAAAAACAATATTTTCTTTCTCATGGTTCCAAAAGCTGGAATCACCAGAGGTAATTCTGGTAAGAAAGTTCTTCCTGGTCATGGTCATTCACATCTCATTTTGTCCTCATTTGATCAAAAGGAAAGCTGGTGAGCTTTCCACATCCTTTCAGGTGGACTTCATGTTCACTGTGTACTTACTTTTCAAAAATGGTGGCACTATGAAATAATGAAATTTGGGGAGTCACATGTAAAAGTCCATAGCATTGTACCCCTTGTCCCTCAAAATTCATATTCATCTCACATGCAAAATGTCTTCTTTCCATTATAACAATGCCAATGTATTTGTTACATATCAATTTCAGAAGTCTAATATCCAAATACTTATCTCAATATCTTCTACATAAAACATAGGTGAGTTTCATGACATTGTTTATTCTTAAAAAGTCTTTTTCAACCTGAATCTGAGAAACCAACAACTATGCGCTCTTAAAAATAGCAATTGATGGGGAGAGGAGAGCATGAAGAACTGCCTGGAGGAGGCTCTTAGACCATCCAAGATATATCGAGAAGAAACTCCTTGATCTAGGAAGCTGCATGTTAGTTATACAGAAAGCTGCAGTGATTTAGATTTCTTGAGTTGTCACCCAGTCTGTTGGTGGGCTTTTTGGTGAAAAGCTGTCTTTGAGCAGTCTCTACTTTTGTTGGTAAATCCTCACCCATATTTCTGTTAACAATCTCCAAAAGTCATTTGTTTACATAGAAACAGAAATACACATTTGTTTTCAGGCACCTGCACTATGTGCACACACAGACACACACACACACACACACACACACACACACACACACACACACATATGCAATGGTAAGAAAGACATCCCTACTACAAAAAAAAAGAAGAAAGGGGTAATGAACCCTAAGAAAATATTGAATCTTGGAGGTGAGTTCTGATAATCTAAGGTTGGGGAATAATCTCTTTTGGCCCCATATACTGCCTTCTGCATACTTAAAGGGGAGAAAACTCTGCCTTTCAACCTCACATTGAGAGACTTCCTCGTGAAACCATGCCCATCATATTTCTACAAATATATTATGCATGGTTTCTTAATTAAGCTCCAAGAATAAATGAAACTCTCTCTCTCTCTCTCTCTCTCTCTCTCTCTCTCTCTCTCTCATCAGTCCTGGTGTGAATCATTTTACTTTTTCTGCAGCAGCTCAAAATTCCTCCAGCCTCTACTCACTACCTACATCCAAAATGGTTTTCCTTTTTTAAGCACTTGAAACAGATGCCCTTCACTCTGTGTAAAAATTTCAGTCTTGGAGAGTCTGGGCTGCTATAACAAGTTACTATAGTCTGATTTGTTTCTAAGCAACAGAAATTCATTCCTCACAGATATGGAGAGTAAAATCCTGGAATTAGGACAACAACCTGATCAGGCTTTAGTGAGAGTTCACTTCTGACTTGCACACTGACAATTTCCAAGTTAACTTCAATAGCAGAGGGAGAGAAGAGAGAGGAATAGATCTTTCTTGGGAAACTTAGAGACACAACCCTCATTCATTTGAGTCCCAGCCTTATAACCTCATATATACCCAACAATTCCACTTTCTAATACTGGCACATTCCATGTCAATATTCCATGTCAGCATATTGCTGAAGTGAATGATGAGACGTAAACATTTGGTCCATAACACTGAAATTCTCTGAGATAATCCAATGAACTATCCAGTGAACTATATAGGAGTAATTTTGAAACATTTCGAATGAACTTGGAATCCGTGTAAGAGCTGACCCTGTTGTGAGTTCGGGAGAGCTGGTTCTGATGGCTTGAGGTACCACAGGCAGTAGAGCTAGTGTTGCTCCTCACCTGGGCAAAGCAAGGAGAGCTGGCACAGGTGGCATGGGCATAGGACAGCTGGTACACTGACCAACTCATCTACCACCCAAACCCAAATCCATGTCTTTGAGAGGGTCCACCCCAATATCTACCACATCTAAGAACTTCTGGTCTGTTCCTGCAGAGCCAATGCTGTAGGATCTCCATGACACAGGATATCTGAGAGGTATCCTGATGAAGATCCAGTATTGATAGTGTAGCAGAAGCTGGAAACATTAAGACAGACCAGTGACTCATTGAGATGAACATTTGCAAGTGAAGCTATTTGGACAAAAGGGCAGACTGAGCAACACAACATGACACACCACAGATTCCACGGTCAGATGTTTTTGTGTTTTTTTAATCATTTTATTTTGTTTTGCTTGTGAGGAGAAGTTGCAAGGACAGAAGGCAGATATGGAAGGACAAAGAGATGAGTGGGATTGTGATGCATGATATGAAATTCACAAATAATCAATGAAAAGGTTTTTAAATTTTGCTCATTGAAGCCCCTGCCTTTGGGGTGATGTATGAAGAAAAATGGCTTCTGTGGAAACTGTTTCTTCATAATGTGTAATTTTATTGATCTTTTTATAGTGATTTTCCTAGGTAGCCAATAGAGTAAACAAAAATATATAAAAGGAGAAAATTCTTACTTGGGTTATGATGAATTCTACAAGTGATTCTGGTAAACAATGAAGTATACATTGAGTCTCATTTGGACAAGATATTCAATCAACTCCCCTCTTCTGTTGGATGACAGTTTGTATATGTTAATATCTCTACACATATAATTGTGATGATTCCTCTTTCATGGCTTAAGAGACAAAAACTCATAATGCTAGAAGGGAGGTGCCATAATATACAGACATATAGAGGGATAAACAAAACTAACAACTACAAATATTCCAAAATACAGTGCTGATGGGGTGTGAAACAAGACAGAGATTTTGTTGCTGTCTTATGCAGACCTAACCAACGGCCCAAAGTGCAAGACTGCAGAATGATATGGAAAATTTTGTTTCTTGGGCCAGGTCACAAACGTGGCTGTCACTCTATTCTCTTTGTGGGTTATTATCAAGCTCTGATAGGCAAGGTGATGTCCAGAGCTACAGCAAACACATTGGATTGTGAGACAACCAGAATATAAGAAACACTATAGAAATCACAAACATACTAATCTTGACTCTGAAACATTTGCTTTTGAAGAAAAAGAAATCTTTGCATTCAAGTCAACATTTGATCGTCTTTGGGCAATTGAATTACTAATTGGGATTGTAGCCATCAATGAGGACTGCTGAATGTCAATTCAGCAGCCTTTTTCTCTTTGTTCAGTTACCAACTCTTCAAAGAGCCACTGACTCATAGAGACAAGCTTTGTCTGTAGCCATTAAGTTAACGGTTCAGTCATAGCAAAGTTCAAGGTAAATGAAACTCACAGTCTTATTCCATAGAAAGTTACATGAAATATTCTGATTTAATAAAGTACAAGTAGAATAAATGACTGCATAGGAATTCTTTTTATACTTGATTTTTTAGAAAAGCAAGAAAAAATCAAATATAAAATTTTAAATGGACGTTGACCAATGTGATATTACAGAATTGATTAATGTAACACTGCATCTGTTTGTCAAACACGTCATATGCCTTTAAATTTAGGGTATATTCAGATTTTCTGTTCTTCAGAAGGCTATCTTTTACCAATTATATTGACAGGGATATACACATACACACACTCACACACATATACATATGTGCTATGTGCATAGGCTCTTTGGCATAGGCAAGGATGTGCAAATGTGTTCATAATGAAGAAAAAAGCCATCATGTTAAAGAACAATTTCTTGCTCTCATTCTTTCCCTTAATGTCCGTATTTAAATCTATGTTAAAAGCTTTTCTTTAATAAACTTCTATCTTCTCTTGGGGTCCTCCTTGTTTCCTAGCTCCTCTGGCAGTGTGGAGTGTAGGCTACTGATCCTTTGCTCTATGTCTAAAAATCAAAAATGAGTGAGTACATACCATGCTTATCTATTGTGATTAAGTTACCTCACTGAGGATGGTTTCTTCTACTTCCATCCATTTGCCTGTGAATTTCAAGATTCCATTGTTTTTTTTTTTTCCTCTGAGTAGTACTCCATTGTGTAAATGTATCACATTTTCTCTATCCATTCTTCAGTTGAGGGGCATCTAGGTTGTTTCCGGGTTCTGGCTATTACAAATAATGCTGCTATGAACATAGTTGAGCATATGTCCTTATTGTATGAGTGTGCATTCTTTGGGTATATGCCCAAGAGAGGAATTGTTGGATCTTTAGGTAGACTGATTCCCATTTTCCTGAGAAACTACCATACTGCTTTCCAAAGTGGTTGTACAAGTTTGCACTCCCCCCAGAAATGGAGGAGAGTTCTTCTTTCTCTACATCTTCTCCAGCATAGATTGTCGTTGGTGTTACTGATTTTATACATTCTGAAAGGAGTAAGATGGTATCTCAGTGTGGTTTTGAGTTGCATTTCCCTGATGGCTAAGGATCTTGAGCACTGTCTCAAGTGTCTTTCAGCAATTTTGGATTCCTCTGTTGAGAATTTTCTATTTAGTTCTGCACTCCATCTTTTAATTGCATTGTTCAGTGTTTTTGGTGGCTAGCTTCTTGAGTTCATTGTATACTTTGGTGGTCAGCCCTCTGTCAGATGTGGGGTTGGTGAATATCTTTTCCCATTCTGTGGGCTGGTGTTTTTGACTTGCTGACTGTGTCCTTTGCTTTACAGAAGTTTCTCAGTTTCAGGATGTCCCATTTACTAATTGTCGATCTCAATGTTTGAGCTACTGGTGTTACATTCAGAAATCGGTCTCCTATACCAATTTGTTCAAGGGTGCCACCTACCTTCTAGCCTACAATCCACACTGCAAGATGAGCTAGGAAACAAGGAGGACCCCAAGAGAAGATTTCATAGTCCCTCAAAGAAGGGGATGGGGGCAAGAACCCCTGACCAAATTGGAGCCCATGGCAGGGAGAGGAAGGAGAGTCCTCATCCAGTTGCTGTTTGAAGCAGAAACAGACACCATAGCTAAGCACTGAACCATACTACTGAAATTCAGTTGTGGAGAGGGAGGAGGGTTAAGCAAAGGAGCCAAGACAGGGATGGAGATACCTGCAGAAACAGTGGACCTGATCTTCTGATAGAATGGAGACCCTAGACATAAAGCTGGGAAAACATCATTGGACCAAACCAACCCCTCTGAATGTGGGTTCCACCTAGGAGTCCAAGAGAGTCTACGGGTCCACTTAGCGGAGCCAGTCTTTATCCCTAGAGCACAAATGGACTTTGGGAGCCCACTCCCTATGGAGGGATACTATTACAGCCCTCCCCCAAACAATATGACAAACTTTGAAGGTCCTTGGTGGAGGGCCTCACTATGCATGGGGAGGAATTGGAGGTGGGTTGGGGTGGGTTGGTAAGGTAGGGAACATGGGAGGATGAGAGGGTGAGGAAATGGGGCATGGATATGTAAATATGAATAATTAAAGATAAAATTGAAAAAAATAATAAACTTCAACTTTGAGCTTTCCTACCTCTGGTTCCTGACCATCCCGGCAGTGTCAGGTTTGGCTTGGGGTGTGGACCTCAAATTGGACCAGTCATTGGTTGGCCACCTGCACAAGTTCTGCACTACCATTGCCTCAGCACATCTTGCAGGCAGGACAGTTTGTAGGTCAAAGGTTTAGCAGCTGGGCCAAAAAGAAAAAAAGGTCAACAAAATGATTCCTAATGATATTCTGCTATACTCACAGATCAGTGCCCAGCCCAATTGTCATCAGAGAGGCTTCATCCAGCAGATGCAGAGACCCACAGCCAACCACTAGACAGAGCCAAAGGAATCTTGCATAATAGAGGGATGAAGGGTATTAGGACCCAGAGCAAGCAAGTATACCACAAGAACAAGGTCCACAGAACTAACTAAGCAGGGCTCATCGGGACTCACAGATACTGAAGCAACAAACATTAAGCCCCCTACATACACTTTATGGTTGTTTGTTTGGTGTGTAGGGGGTGGTGTCTCTGACTCTTTTGCCTTCATTTAGGACCTTTTTTCTCCCACTGGGTTGCCTCATCCATATGAGGGTTTGTACCTAGTCTTATTGTAACTTGTTAAGCCATAGTCAGTTGATATCCCTGGGATACCTGCCCTTTTTTTAAAGGGAGATGGAGGAGGAGTGGATCTAGGGGAGAGGAGGACCAGGGAAGTACTAGAAAGAATGAGAGAGGGGAGACTGTGGTTGACATGTAATGTATGAGAGGAAAAAGATCTTCACCTTTGCTTCAAAAAGCAAGGAACAAATAGCACGAAAAATAATTATGTTTTCTAGAAATAACATCAAAACTATTATCATCTCTAGAAAATTTAAATTCATTTCAGAGCCAAAAAGCACTAGAGAATGTTATTTATCCATTGACATCTCAGCCCCTGAAACCTCAAATTCTCTAGAGAGTCAATACTGATCCCTTAGGCCCCAACAATAAATCCCCAAAGAGGAAAGAATTTTCAAGAGAGCCTTGTAGGCAATCAGCCTGCTCCAGCTGCAGGCAATGAATTGGAGCCACTCTGATGTAAATAAAGTAATCCGTTGCTCACCAACAGTTACACATCTATGTAATGTGTGAAGGAACTGGCAAAGCAAAGGACCTGCAGTAGAGTCCAGTCTGGCTCACAAGACCAGGAGGGAGTTCTCCATTGTTGGTGATGTAATAGAATGCTTAGGGGTTGGAATGTAACTATTGTCTGGGAAGCTGTATGAATGAACATGAAAATGAATCCACCAAACACTTTACAAACCAATGAATATTATATGCCTTTAGTATTTAATATTTCATGAGGCTAGATTGACTTTTTTTTTACCTGTTACAGCTTATATAACATGATGAAACCTTTCTACATAATGTGTAAGAGCTCTCCGAGAGGCTCTATGACTTTAAATTGTGTCTTATTATTTTATTAAAAAGTCATGGCTTAGAAATTGAAAGCAGCCTAGATGCCCCTCAACCAAAGAATGGATAGATAAAATGTGGTACATTTATACACTGGAGTACTACTCAGCAGAAAAAAAAATGGAATCTTGACATTTGCAGGAAAATGGATGGAATTAGATGAAACCATTCTGAGAGAGGTAACCCAGTCACAAAAAGACAAACATGGTATGTACTCACTCATATGTGGATTTTAGACATAGAGTAAAGGATTACCAGCCTACAATCCACACTGTCAGAGAAACTAGTAAACAAGGAGGACCCTAAGAGAGATGTAATTGGTCCCCTGGAGAAGGGGAAAGGGTCACGATCCCCTGAGCAAATTGACAGCATGGGAAGAGGGGGGAGGGAGCTATGAGAATGAGAAGGGAAGAAGAGAAAGGATGTAGAGGTTCTGAGGGAGCATAAAGTTTGAGTCAGGGGAAGAATAGAAGAAATGATATGTTATGGGTAGGGTTTTAGTTGGGGGAGTAGTGGGGGAGGACAGGAGGGAGCAGGGAACTGGGATTGTCATGTAAAACAATCTTGTTTCTGATTCAAATAAAAAAATCTGAAAAAAAAAAAGTCACGTCTTTTTATTTTAGCTTTAAATATATGAACTACTTTGAGTTAATTTTGATTTAAGATGTAAAATTTATATTGAGTTCTTTATTCCCTGAAATAGTTAAGCATTCCAACAGCCTATTGAATGACTTTTGTACTTTTATAAAATTCTACAGGCTAACCCATGCATATTGTTTTCTAGGCTCCCTCCTGCTCTTCATCTGTGTCTGCCCATCCACCAAAATCTCAGTGTTTAATTAGTGTCAGGATAAATCCTGACAACAGGATACTGGTTTGATACACTTTACTCTTTGGGAAGTCCTGCTTAGGTAGTCATGCAACTTTTCCTTCCCACTAGTCTACATCTAGAGAAAAGTTTTACAGATTAGGAATTATACCCTATTGTGTGTCAGTTTCAAGCAGATTAACGTCAAATTACGCTGAGATTTTCAGCTCGTATAGTTTGCCTATTTGTGTAGATCTTTGGTTTCATTTGTCATTGCTTCCTCGGTTTTATTGTACTAATCCTAATGCAGATATGCTTAGATTTATGCTTAAGTGCTCTGTGTTAGTGACTATAAATGAGACTTTACTTTCAGTTCCCATCTTCCATTGTTAATATGCAGAGTTGATTTCTCTATGGTCATCTTGCACTCTGAGGCTTTGCTGAAGTAATTTGTGAGCTCTACAAGATGACAATAGATTCCTTGGTATCTTCTTATTATTTATATCACCTGCAAATGCAGACAGGTGTATTTTTTTTCCTTTCTAGCATGTATATTTATTCCTCTTCTGTCTTCATCCTACTAACTAGTATTTCCATAGCATAAGGAATAGCAGTGATGATGGTCTGTATATCTAAAGAGGCAAGCATTCACATTTGTAGGTGGTCTCCATCAAACTGAGAAAGTGCTTTCTATTCATATAGTTTGAACTCTCTCTTTTTTTCCTTTTTCTTTATTATTATCTTATACAACACATCCCAACCAAAGTCTCCCCTCTGTCCCCTCCTCCCAGCCCCCCCAACACCTCTCTCCTAGATCCAATGCTTCTCCATTTCCCTTCCGAAAAGAACATGGCTTCTAGGGGTATCAGTTGAATATGTCATAGCAAGATGCAATAAGACTAGGCAAAAACCCTAAAATGAGGCAATCCAGTAGGAGGAAAAAATGTCCCAAGAATATACAAAAGAGTCAGAGACAGCTCCCACTCCCACTGTTAACACCAAGCTAAATAACCACAGCTTGTATGCATATGACCTAATGCAGACCCACGTAGGCTCTGTCATTGCCACTTCAGTCTCTGAGCCCTATAAACCCTGCTTAGTTGATCCTGTGGGCTATGTTCTCCTGGTGTTCTTAACCCCTCTGGCTCCTACAATCCTTCTTTGGGGTTCACTGAGCTCTGCTTAATGTTTAGCCGTGAGTCTCTGTATCTTCTCTCATTAACTTCTAAAGGAAGCCTCTCTGATGACTATTGGGCTAGACACCCATCTGTGAGTATAGCAGAATATCATTAGGAATCATTTTGTTGACTTTTTTTCTTTTTGTTAGTCGCGTTTAGTTCTACCCTAGGTCTCTGGCCCATCCAGTTTCTCATTCTAGCCATCCAAGCAGTGTGAGGCATGGGTTCCCTCTCAAGGCATGGGTCTCAAGTTAAATTAGTCATCAGTTGGCCACACCACAAGCTCTGAGCCACCACTGCCCCAGCACATCTTGCAGTCAGAATAGGTTATGTGTTGAAAGCTTTGTTTCTGGGTTGGTGTCCCTTTTCATAAAGCCACGGCCAGGTATTGAATTCTGTCAAATGTCTTTTTTCACAAGCTCATACAATCCTGTATTTTTTCTCTAAATTGTTTATGATAGATTATGTATTTTCATATTCTGAAATGGCCCCTTGCTATAGCAGCCAATCATACTATGCAATGTAAGCCCCTCTCTCTCTCTCTCTCTCTCTCTCTCTCTCTCTCTCTCTCTGTGTGTGCGTGTGTGTGTGTGTGTGTGTGTGTGTGTGTGTGTGTGTGTGTGTGTGTGTGTATGTGTATGTGTTTAAAAGATTTGCAAGTATTTATGAAAGGATCTCCCTTCAAAAGTCATCTGAGGTATAGAGTAGTTCTATTTCTTTTTTATTTTTGAGGTAATATAAACACAACATTTCTTCCCTTTTAACTCTCCCATATTCTCTTCAAATTCATGCCTGCTTTTTTATTATTGAATGCATATAAGTATATACATATATTTCTAATATAACCTGTTTAGTCCATGGACTGTTACTTATATGTATGTTTTCTAGGCTGACCATTCGGCACCTGACAACAGTTTGCTGTGCTCTTCCCTGGGGAAGACAATCTTTCCCACTCCCAACTTTCCTCAGTTGCCTTAGTTCTTTGTGTAGGGTTGAGACCTCGTGGGCTTTACCCTATCCACTTTGGCAAGCTCATGAGTGTCATCCTTTTTCATTTCCTGTTTGAGCAAACATGGGGTGAGAATTTATAGGTGCCGCTTCTGAGGTTACTAGGAGACACAATCTCACAGCAAACTCCCTGATCTTCTGGCTCTTAAAATCTTTCTGACTCTTCCTCTGCAATGTTCTCTGATCCTTCATTGAAGAAGTGTTTTATACATGTCCCTGGGCTCCATAGTCCGCATTTTTGTTAGGTTCTGGTTTTCTGAACAGTTCATACTGATTTCCAAAATGTTTTTTTGTGAGGGGACACACAACAAACAAGCAATGAACCAGGGTTCTCCTTCCCCATTTTTCCGAAGTATTTGTTGCCTTTCTTTTCTTCATGATAACCATTCTGTCTAGAATGAGATGAAATCACATAGTAGTTTTAATCTGTATGTCTCTGATAGCTAGGCACATTCAACACTCTTTTAAAGTGTTTATTGACCACATTTATTTCTTCTAAGAACTGTCTGTTAGCTTTATTAACACATTTGTTGCTTAGAAGTTTGGGGGTCTTAATGTTTAATATTAATTTCTTTACAGATTCTCTGTATTGAGGTATAGCTGAAGAAGACTTTCTTCCATTGAGTCTGTTCACTCTGCTAACAGTCTCTTACTGTAAGAAGCTTTTTACTTTCATGTAGCCTCAGTTGTCAGTTCTGGCCACTTTCTGTCCTACTGGAATTTTGTTCAGAGAGCTCTTAGGAATACCTATATATTGAAGCATTTTCCCTGTTTTCCTCTATTTTAGATTTCAGACAAAGTTCTTTGATCCACTTCAATATGATACTGTAGGGGTGAAAATATGTATATAATTTTATTTTTATTTTAATTTTTATATTAATTAGAAACAAGATTGTTTTACATGTCAACCCCCATTCCCTCTCCCTTCCCTCCTCCCCTGCCCTCACTAACACCCTACCTATCCAATACCATTTCTGCTCCCCAGGGAGAGTGAGGCCTTCCATGGGAGGTCTTCAGAGTCTGTCATACCATTTGGGATAGGGCCTAGGCCCTCCCCCATGTGTCTAGGCTGAGGTAGAATCCCTCTATGTGAAATGGGATTCCAAAGTCCATTCCTACGCTAGGGATAAGTACTGATCTACTACAAGAGGCCTCATATATTTCTGAGGGCTCCTCAAATGATACTCACATTTATGGGGTCCGTATCAGTTCCATGCTGGTTTCCCAGTGATCACTCTGGAGTCCAAGAGCTCCCTCTTCTTCAGGTCAGGAGTTTCTGTGGGTTTCACCAGTGTGGTCTTGACCACTTTACTCATCACTCCTTCTCTGCAACTGGATTCCAGTTCAGTTCAGTGTTTAGCTATGGGTATCTGCTTCTACTTCCATCAGCTTCTGGATAAAGGCTCTAGGATGGTATATAAGTTAGTCTTCAATCTCATATTCAGGGGAGGGCATTTAAGCCTCTCCACTGTTGCTTAGATGGTTACTTGGTGTCATCCTTGTAGATCTCTGGACATTTCCCTAGTGCCTGACTTCACTTTAAACATGTACTAACTCCCTCTTTGATAGTATCTCTTATTTTGCTCTCCTCTGATCTTCTCCCTACACAACCTTCCTCCTCCCTTATGTCTTCCTCATCCCTCCTCCCTTCTCATTCTACTAGCTCCTCTCCCCTCCCCCCATGCTCCCAATTTGCTCAGGAAATCTTGTCCCTTTCCCCTTCTCCAGGGGACCATGTATATCTCTTTGAGAGTCCTCTTTGTTGCCTAGCTTCTCTGGTGGTGTGGATTATAGGCTGGTAATCCTTTGCTCCATGTGTAAAATCCATATATGAGTGAGTGCCTACCATGTTTGTCTTTTTGTGACTGGCTTACCTGGCTCAGAATTGTTTCTTCTAGTTCCATCCATTTGTATGAGAATTTCAAAATGCCATTGTTTTTTTTTTTCCACTGAATAGTAGTCCATTGTGTAAATGTACCACATTTTCTCTATCCATTCTTCAGTTGAGGGCCATCTAGGTTGCTTCCAGGTTCTGGCTATTACAAATAATGCTGCTATGAAAATTTTGAACTGAACTCCTTGTTGTATGAATGTGCTTCTTTTGAGTATATGCCTAAGAGTGGAATTGCTACATCTTGTGATAGGCTGATTCCCATTTTCCTAAGGAATCGCCATACTGATTTCCAAAGTGGCTGTATGAGTTGGCACTCCCACTAGCAGTGGAGGAGTGTTCCCCTTTCTCCACATCCTCTGCAGCATAAGTTATCATTGGTGTTTTTGATTTTAGCCATTCTTACTGGAGTAAGATGACATCTCAGAGTTGTTTTGATTTACATTTCCCTGATGGCTAAGGATGTTGAACACTTTCTTATGTATCTTTCAGCCATGTTGGATTCCTCTGTTGAGAATTCTCTATTTAGTTCTGTACCCCACTTTTTAATTTGGTTATTAGGTGTTTTGGAATCTAGCTTCTTAGTTATCTGTAAATTTTGGAGATCAGCCCTCTGTCAGATGTGGGGTTGGTGAATATATTTTCCCAATCTGTGGGCTGTCATTTTGTCTTGTTGACTGTGTCCTTTGCCTTATAGAAGCTTCTCAGTTTCAGGAGGTCCCATTTATTAATTGTTGATCTCATTGTCTGTGCTACAGGTGTAATGTTCAGGAAGCTGTCCTGTACCAATTCATTCAAGTGTTCTTCCCACTTTCTCTTCTAAGAGGTTCACTATGGCTGGATTTATGTTGAGGTCTTTAATCTATTTGGACTTAAGTTTTGTGCATGGCAATAGACATGGAACTATCTGCAGTCTTCTACATGCCAGCATCCAGGTATGCAAGCACCATTTGCTGAAGATGCTTTCTTTATTCCATCGTATATCTTTACCTTCTTTTTCAAAAATCAGGTGTTCGTAGGTGTGTGGGTTAGTGTCAGGGTTTTCAATTCAATTCCATTGGTCTACCTTCTATTTTTGTTCCAGTACCAAGCTGTTTTCAGAACTATAGCTCTATAATAAAGCTTGAAGTCAGGGATGGTGATACCTCTGGAACTTCCTTTATTGTACAGGGTTGTTTTGGCTATCCTGTGTCTTTTGTTTCTCCATATAAAGTTGAGTATTGTTCTTTCAATGTCTAGAAGAATTGTGCTGGTATTTTGATGGGGATTGCATTGAATCTGTAGATTGTTTTTGGCAAGATTGCCATTTTTACTATGTTGATCCAACGTATCCAAGAGCATGAGAGACCTTTCCAATTTATGGTATCTTCTTTAATTTCTTTCTTTAAAGACTCAAAGTTCTTGCTATACAGGTCTTTCACTTGTTTGGTTAGTGTTACCCCAAGATATTTTATGTTGTTTGTGGCTATTGTAAATGGTGATGATTTATGTAGATGGGCATCCAATTTAACCCACACAATTTGTGAAATAGACCATGTTTTGATACCACTACCAAAAATTAAATGACTATAGATGCAGGACTTATTCCTGGACTCACTGTTCTATTTCTTGTTTCTGTTTTTGTGCTGGTACCAGATTCTTTGTCACTATAGTTCTACAGTGATTTGGGGTGTGATAATATTACTACTAAGAGTGTCCTTTCTGCTTAGGATTGTTTTGACTCTAGTTAGTCTTTGTCTCTACATGCAAATTTTGTTTTTACCTAGTTCTATAAAAGATATAATTAGAATTTTATGGTAATTGCATTGAATCTGTAGATATCTTTTGGTAATTAGGACTTTACACAAAATAATTCTACCAATCCAGGAGTATGGAAGGTCATTCTATAGCTAGCATTTTCTTCAATCTCTTCCTACACTGCCTTAGTTTTCATTATAGAGGTATATCATGTCAATGCTTAGATTTATTCCTACATTCATTTTTAATTATTATGACATTATTTTTCCTAAGTTCTTCCTCAGTAAGTTCATTGTTTGCAAATATAAAAAACTACTGATTTTTGTATGTTGATTTTGTATCTTGCAACTTTACCAAAAGAGTGTACTATATCGAAGTGTTTTCTCGTAGAGTCTGTATGGTCTTTTGAATATAGAACACATCTACAAATAGAGATAATTTCACTTTTTCTAAGAAGCATTCTTCATTTTAAAATGAATCATGGTTAAAACACACTAATATATAAAGTGACTTCTTATGATAGATACAGAAAAATTATTTAGAAACTTATAAATATTATGAGTGCTTATCAGGAAGAACCAACTCAAAATGAATCAAAACAGAACAAACTGTTACTACAAAGAAATCACTGAGATTTTCCTCTTTGTTCCTCCTCTTGGTCTTCTCTAGATTTTCAGTGACAATGACACAAGAAAATTAGACTGAAGTCACTGGCTTCTATCTTCTGGGATTTGGGGTCCAGCATGATATTCAGTATGTCCTCTTTATGGTGTTTCTTTTAATCTATGTGACATCCCTGGTGGGTAACACAGGGATGATTCTCCTCATCAACACTGACTCCAGACTTCAGACTCCCATGTACTTCTTCTTACAACATCTGGCTTTTGTTGATATATGTTACACATCTGCCATCACTCCCAAGATGCTTCAGAACTTCATAATAGAAGATAAGTCAATAACTTTTAAGGGATGTTTAATACAATTATTTACTTATGCAGTATTTGCAACCGGTGACTGTTACCTCCTTGCTGTTATGGCAGTGGACTGTTATGTGGCAATCTGCAAACCACTTCATTATCACATAGTCATGTCCCGGAAAGTTTGCATCCAGATGGTAGCTGGTTCCTATCTCATTGGATCAATAAATTCCTCAGTACACACAGGATTTACATTTTCACTGTCATACTGTAAATCAAATCACATAAATCACTTTTATTGTGGCGTTCCTCCAATTATCAGCCTTTCATGCTCCAACATTGACACCAACATCAGGATTCTTGTTATCTTTGTTGGATTTAACCTGATATTCACCATGTTGGTTGTTGTCTTTTCCTACATATACATCATGTCTGCCATCTTAAAGATGTCCTCCACAGCAGGAAGGAAGAAAACCTTCTCCACCTGAGCCTCTCACCTGACAGCAGTCACCATTTTCTATGGTACCCTTGCTTACATGTATCTACAGCCTCATTCTGAAAATTCTGAGGAAAATATGAAAGTGGCCTCTGTGTTTTATGGCATCATGATTCCTATGTTGAACCCTCTGATCTATAGCTTAAGAAACAAGGAAGTAAAAGATGCTATAAAGTTGACAATGAAAAAGTTCTTTAGATTTGATACACAACAATAAAAATTCACCACATCAAATAGTCAGAATAATATTTTAATAATTATGAAATTTGAAGCAGTGAGTTCTTAAATGGTGACTGCCCCATCAATGAATCTGAACTTAAAGGGAATATTCAATAACTTCTTCTAAAACATATTTAAAACTCAAAGTTTAAAATTTTTGTTTCAAACTAACATGGAGAGGACTTTATGGAGATTATTATAGATACTGACAAATAGACAAATATTTTTACTGTCAAATATTTTTTTAAAACTTCATGAAATACTCTTTCAAATATTTTTAAATACTAAAAATGCTTCCAGTGGTGGACCAGGGTTGCATTTGGTCAAGCTGTTGACCAAGGAGATCCCATGGAGATCCCCGAAAAACCCAGGCTGATGCTAGAACAGAGGGTCACTCTCCAAAAACTGAGTGTGGGGAGGATGCATTGCAGAGGGCAACATATCTGCGCAGCTCACTGAATGTAGAAAGCTTGATCTGGTGCCTGCACAGAGCCTTCACCCCTACATTCTAGTCTCTTTGGTACAAGAAGGTACTCTGCAAGATACCTAAAGAGAAACCTGGACAGAAATCCAGTCATAAAACCCTCCACCAACAATCTGCCCTGCCTGCAAGGTAGGCTGGAGCAACTGTGGCACAGAACTTGTGGGAGTGACAGACCAATACCTGGTTTAAGTTGAGGCCCACACCATGAGAGGGAGCCCATGCCCTACATTGCCTGGGTGGTCAGGAACTAGAGACTGGATAGCCCATAGACCTAGGGTAGAACCAAACATGACTGTCAAAAAATGTCAATGAAATTATTCATAATGATATTCTGCTATATTCATAGACAGGAGCTATATTCATTGTCTATATTCTATATATAGAGACAATGCTATATTCATTGTCTGGTTGTCATCATCAAAAAGGTTTCCTCCACCAGCAGATGGAAGCAGGTGCAGAGACCCACACCCAAACATTATGTTTAAATTGGATGTCTCCACTGGGTCCCTTCTCTTGGAGACTAGGGAGCCCTATGGAAGGAGATAAGGAAAGATTGTAGGAATCAGAGGGGATGGAGGACACAGGAAGAACATGGCCCACTAAATCGACTAAGCAAGACTCACATGGTCTCACAGAGACTGAAGCAGTAAGCACG